CCCATACATCTTTGAATTCAGAAACACTTGAAGCCATTTCAGAATATATTGCAGAGACTAAACCTTCAATGGACACTGATTCACTTCCTGTTCCTTCTTTTCCCCTTTCTCCTCCATCTTCACAACCCCAATCTTCGCAACGCTCCGTTCCTTCGCTACTTGAACATCTTCCAATGCCACCACACGTTGACTTTTCTAACCCCTCTAGTCCGTAGTGCCTTTAACCACAGATTCCTGGTATTTTCTTTATCGCCAATCATGGCTTATTTCAGTGGAATACCCACGGCCTCAGGGGTAATCGGGTGAGCTTCAGATGTTGCTTTCCCCAGGTTTTTTCCTGTTGGTGCTTGCTTACAAGAACCAAATTTACACTCTGCTGTCCTTCCAACCTATCTCGGGCTATAATTTATTGTATTCTTCGAATCCTTTCTCAGATGGGACCTTTAATGAAAGTGCCCTTCTTCTACGCAATGATATTCCGTACTGTCAACTATTTGTCCATACCTCACTGCATTACACTGCAGGCCCGTATCCACTTGAATAAGTGGTTTACAATATGTTCTTTATATCTCTCTCCTTCTCGAGCATTTTCTATCCCAGACTTTGCCTTTCTTGTTTCATCCTTACCACCACCAATTCTGTTACTTGTGATTTTAAAATGCCCACCATTTCCTCTGGGGGGGGGGTCTCATTGTGACCACGTGGCATCCAGTTGGAGGCTTTTCTCCCCTCTCGCCCCCTCCATGTTTTAAATACGGGTACTCCCCACCCATTTTGATCCTCGTACTCATACTCTCTCTTGCATCGATCTATCAGTCTGCTCTTCCTCCACTTCATTAGACTTCACCTGGTCTGTTCTACCGGACTTACATGACAGCGATCATTTTCCGATCATTCTTACTTCTCCTTCCTATTCCCCCACCTTTTTTCGTAGCCCCTCGCTGGCAATTTGATCGGGCAAATTGGGATCTTTACTCACACCTCACTGCTTTTAGTGAGGTTCCTTCTTCATCCTCCTTGATGAGCTCCTACACATCTTCTCGACGTCATTTTTATACCGCAGCTTCTCATTCTATACCCAAACCTCGGGCAGGCATTCTCAAAAAGTGCGTGCCTTGGTGGTCTCCTGCTTGTGCTCATGCAGTACGTTTGAAACGTGCTGCTTGGGCAGTACCGGTAAAATAGAACCGCTGAGAGACTTCTTGATTTTAAGCAGAAGCGTGCGATCGCCTCGCCGTGTCATCCCGTGAAGCTAAACGCACTTGTTGGCGAGACTATGTTTCCACATCACCTCTGCTTCTTCTATGAGTGCAGTCTGGAAAAAGTGAGGAAATTGAGTGGTAAATACTCTCCTGACCCGGCTCCTGTTCTACGGGTCGCTGGGTTGATGAGCAAACCCTCTCGACGTTGCCATTGAACTTGGCACACATCTGGCCCCGTAATTCCCGAGGGCCCCCATCTATGCCCCCGATTCTTTCCTCAAAGTCTGCCAGAGAGTTAGTACCCTTGGACTTTCTTCTCTCAGAGAAGAACAGTATAATGTGCCTTTTACACTTCAAGAACTGGAGGCAACGCTCTCGCTTGCCGATCATCGGCAGCTGGGCCTGACGACATTCATATTCGTAGTTCAACATTTACATCGGTCAGCCCTTGTAGTCCTCTTACACCTCTTTAATCTTATTTGGGCACAAGGAGTTCTTCCCCAGCTGTGGAAATCTGCCATTGTTCTCCCTTTCCGCAAACCGGGTACTACAGGACATGATGCCTCCCACTATCGTCCCATCGCTCTTACTAGTCAGTTTGCAAAGTGATGGAACGTCTCGTAAATCGACGTTTAATGTGGTATTTAGAGACACACAACGTCTCTCCGCTAGTCAATAAAGGCTTTCGTAAGGGTTTGTTCTACCATAGACCCCTTACTACGCTTGGATACGTATGTTCGTAATGCCCTTTGCGATTAATCACTCAGTTATTGCCATAAATTTTTTGACCTTGGAAGGCATAAAGAAAACAACTTGGAGGTATAATATTTGGGGCCCCGGCCCATTCCTTTTGGGGCCCCCGAGGCAATCTACCATCCTTCCTTAAGAACTTTTTAACTGACAGACATTTCCGTGTTCGAGTCAATAATGTTCTTTCCCCGGACTTCGTCCAAGCTGAAGGGGTCCCTCAGGATGTGTTCTAAGCACAACACTTTTTTCTCCTTGCTATAAATGGGTTTGGCCTCTGTTCTTCCACCCAATATTTGGTCATCCCCTCTATGTTGATGACTTCGCTATTGCTTGTGCAGGCCCGACTGTCATCTTATTGCAGTTTTCTCTCCAGCATGCGGTCGACCGTGTTTCCACTTGGGGCCACCACACATGGTTTAAATTTTCAAGTACCAAAACTCACCAAATTACTTTCACTAGACGCTCTGTTATCTCCGATCATCCTTTGTATCTCTATGGCTCCCGTATCCCCGAACGTTGATACAGTCAGGTTTCTAGGCCTTCTCTTTGACCGTAGGTTTCCTGAAACCTCACATTACCTCTCTGAAGCAATTGTCACAGCCGGCTAAACCTTCTTAAAAACCCTTGCTCATCTTTCCTGGGGAGCGATCGTCGAACTCTGCTTCGCCTACATTCACCCTCGTTTTATCGAAACTCGATTATGGTGACCAGTTTATTCGCGCCTCTCCTGCTACTCTCTCTAGCCTTAACTCTATCCATCACCAAGGATTACGTTTTTTTGCCTTGGTGCTTTTCGCTCTTCCCCCCGTTGAGAGCCTCTATACAAAGCGAATGTTTCCATCCTTGTCTGATCGCCATGATGCCCATTGCCTTCGCTAAATATGTACCTGGAGTTTACCTGGAGAGAGTTCCGGGGTCAACGCCCCCGCGGCCCGGTCTGAGACCAGGCCTCCTGGTGGGTCAGAGCCTGATCAACCAGGCTGTTGCTGCTGGCTGCACGCAAACCCAAAATACGAGCCACAGCCCGGCTGATCCGGAACTGACTTTAGGTGCTTGTCCAGTGCCAGCTTGAAGACTGCCAGGGGTCTGTTGGTAATCCCCCTTATGTGTGCTGGGAGGCAGTTGAACAGTCTCGGGCCCCTGACACTTATTGTATGGTCTCTTAACATGCTAGTGACACCCCTGCTTTTCATTGGGGGGATGGTGCATCGTCTGCCAAGTCTTTTACGCTCTCACGATCTACACAATCCTTCCATTTATAGAATGGTCACCGATATTAGTAGACATTCTTTATTCGTTCGCCGCCCCTGTTTGCTCCGTCCCTTTTCTCTTCGCCTACATTCACTCTTGTTTTCCCTTCAGTTACCACCTTTATATGTTCATGTAGCATCTCACTTTTCCCTACCCCCCTGGGAAGTTCCAGCTGTTCGGGTCTGTTCTTTCTCACTCCCTTGCTCGAAAGCTCAACTGCCTACGGTGGCTTCCCGCTCTCTTTTTCTTGATCACTTCCACTCCCATTCTCATGCCACCGCTGTGTACACAGATGGCTCTGTCTTCAGACGGCGTCGGATTCGCAGCAGTGTTTCCGGACAGCGTCGTGCGGGGGCATTTACTATCTTCAGCTAGCACTTTTACTGCTGAACTGTATGCCATTCTTGCAGCACTTATTCGTATCGCATCTATGCCTGTGTCATCATTTGTAGTAGTCTCAGACTCCCTTAGTGCTCTACAGGCTATACGAAAATTTGATACATCTCATCCCCTAGTTCTCCGTATCCAACTTTGGCTACGCCGTATCTCTACCAAACATAAAGATATTTTTTTTTGTTGGGTCCCCGGTCATGTCGACGTACCCGGGCAATGAACAGGCAGACACTGCTGCGTCAGCATACATGACCTACCAATTTTCCCATCGAGGTGTTCCATTTTTTGGACTATTTTTCTGCAATAGCTACCCACCTTCGCACCCGTTGGCAACAACGTTTTGGGCAAACTCTACTCGGAACAAACTTCATTCTATTAAACTGAGCATAGGTTACTGGCCGTCTTCTAGTCATCATGCCGAGGTTGGGAGACCACTCCCCTCCCCCCTACGCATTGGGCCTCACTCGTCTTACCATGGGGATCTCATGGAGAGGCACCCTGTTCCTCTCTGTGAGCAGTGTCAAGTTCCAGTATCGATTAGCCACATTCTGTAGACTGCCCTCTCTATCAACGAGCACGCAGAATTTACCTCCAACGTCGTCTTCGTTCTACTACTCTCTCTTTAAACCTTCCCTTTTGCGATGGACCCTCCTTTAATCCTGACCTCTCATTGACTTCTTGACAACGACTGATTTACTCCACAAACTCTGATGATACTTTCCGCTCCCCCTCAGCCCTTTCAGTTCAGTCTCTTGCTGCCCTTTACCCTTTCACCATCCACTACCCTGCTGTTATCCGTAACCTATTACTCATCCATCTCCCTTTTACCACCTGATGCCCTTGCTTCCTTCCTGCCCTGCAGCGTTGTATAGTCCTTGTGGCTTAGCGCTTCTTTTTGATTATAATAATAATAATGGTGAAATATTGAGGTCAGTGTCAATACTATCAGTGTGTTTACATGTGTATGTTGCTAGGGTTGAAATCCTGAATTTATGGGTAATATGTGTAGGTCTTCTCCAGGACGGAGGGCTTTGCCAGATATACTTAACTTTAAAAAAAAAAAAATATGAAAATGCTGGTTTCCTCATTTCTGCATGAATGTAAATTGTCACTTAAGTTGCATTGTATTGTCTACTATGTTGCTATATTGAGCCTGTTCATTCCTGTACTGTGTATGTATGTTGTCCCACTCATGCTTGCTTTAGTTTTATAATACACTTGTTCTGTGTTTCTTAAATTTTCTTTATAGATTTATATTGGTTATTTTATTTTTGGATTTTTTCATGTAATCATTATCTTCCTTATATTAATTCAAACATTACTTTTGTACTCCATGCTCAGCATGATGTGTTGGTGGTTGTTAATTCAGGAAATAAGACTAATATCTCAAATTTGATCTTTCAGGGAGTGTGATTGTCTTCAAAAATATGGCCAGCACCTTAGCAACTACAGTTGACTCTGTTCCATATGGACCAGATCTCTACATTGGCCTGGGCCTCTCAATATCTTCATCTGTCTTTATAGGTGGTAGTTTCATCTTAAAGAAAAAGTCCCTATTGGCCCTGGGAAAATCTGGTGGTACAAGAGCAGGAGCTGGAGGGTATGGCTATCTCAGACACTGGCTTTGGTGGGCTGGTCTACTCTCCATGGGGTTTGGAGAGGCACTCAACTTCATTGCATATGCATTCGCACCTGCAACTCTAGTTACACCTCTTGGAGCACTGTCTGTCATTGTGACAGCACTCTTGTCTCAGTATTTCCTAGGAGAAGTCTTGAATGTCTTGGGAAAAGTAAGTCTTGTGTTTATATGTTACTCTTATTCATGTACATAATTTGCTGCATGGTTTTTTTTTCTGTTTTTTGTGTGATTTGGTTTCAATGAACCACACATTTTACACATATTTGGACTGATATTACTTTCAGCATACTTTGCTACTTTCTGCCTTCTGTTATCTAATGGTAATGCTCATTTTCGTTTATTGTTGTGTCCCACTTGGCAGATATCATTAGTTGTATCAACCTAAAAAGAAATTTCTGACATTAGGAGGGTTGGCCTCTGTGGTTGATGGAATTATACACAAACTTCAGTTTTTTCATACTTTAATTCATAGTACTGTACAGGGATTCCCTAACTAAAGAATGAGATGTATTCTTGAAAATTATTTGTAATTCAGGTGTTAAGTATTCAGAATCTGTTTTCCCATAGAAATTTTTATTATATTCTTAGATGCATTATACTTGAATAAAAAAAAATGATTAGTATATTTTTTTATTGTTTTTTTTATTAACACATCGGCCGTTTTTCCCCCAAGGCAGGGTGGCCCGAAAAAGAAAAACTTTTATCATTCATTCCATAACTGTCTTGCCAAAGGTGCACTTACACTACACTTATAAAACTGCAACATTAACGCCCCTCCTTCAGAGTGCAGGCACTGTACTTCCCATCTCCAGGACTCAGATCCGGCCTGTTGGTTTCCCTGAATCCCTTGATATATGATATTTTACCTTTAATGCTGTGCCTTTTCAATTTGCCTTACCTCTACATTTAGCAAAGGTGAAGAGTACCCAGTATGGTGTGGGAATAAAGCTTGTAATGAGGGAGTGAAGGTAGTGTGTGCCTGGACTTGTGGTTTGGGAGAGAGGGTTGTATTGAGGGTAGTGCATGCTTGGGCACTTGGTGTGGAAGAGAGAGATGTGGTGAGGATAGGCTGTGTGTCTGGGTATTGCTGTGAGAGGGAGAGTTGTAGGGAGGGTAGTGAGTGGCTGGGCATGTTAAAATTTGTTTCCTAAATGCCCTTTGTGCATATTTGTAGCTTGGGCAATAGTGATAACAATAACAATATTTATTATTATTACATATTATTATTATTATTATTATTATTATTATTATTATTATTATTATCCAATACACAACTTATGAAGACATTTCAATCCATCTTGGACCACTAACTAGTCACTTGTTAATGGACCGAAATATCATTATAAGTTTCTTTCTCCTGTATGCAGATTAGTTATGTATTGTGGCTTTTTATATAAAGCCTTAGTATTATTATTATTATTTTACTTTTTTGTTATTATTACTTGAAATTAGAAGACAAGTGGAGTTAGTAAACGTATAATTCAGAGAGCTGAGGAGATAGTTGTTGAAGTGGTTTGGGCATTTAGGGAAGAGGGGGCAGAATATAAGAGTTATAATCTATAAAACTTGTTTTCTTAGTCATATTCCTATATTGCAGGTAGGCTGCTCCCTGTGTTTACTAGGAGCTACAGTGGTGGTAATTCATGCACCCAAAGAAACAGAAGTCACCAGCATGGAGGATCTGGCAGCCAAGCTCGTTGATCCAGGTGAGTCAAGCAAAAAGAAGTAATAAAACTTGTTAAAATTTACAAATTATGAGGCAGTGATGCCGAGCAGTGTATCTTATTTCTGTTAGGGTCATTAGTTTCTCTCCCAAGAGTGTGCCACATAAGTCATCTAACACCCAGGTAACTATCCTCATTCACCTAGTAGTAAATAGCTGAGGATTGTGGTATGGCACTAACATTCTCTCACTCCTTTGTATATGAACTCTACAGCTGGCTCACATATTCTGCCACTTCATTGTATTTAAGCTTGCTCTTGAGTCTGGCCCAGTGACTGTGACATTTGCAGCTTTTATGATCCAACACTCCACATTTCTGAATTGTCTGTACAATTTTTATTTGTATTTTATACATAAGGTCTTGATAATGTTACATTAATGTTGGTTTGATTAATGCTGGTTTGATAAGACACATCACTGAGTATTATTTTGCCATACATCAGTATATTAATCCAAAAGTGACTAACAAACACTCTGAACATCTTCAACAATCAGTTCTGCAGTTACTGTTTTTTTTTTTTGATAGTTGTCAAAAGAGTAAATACTGTACCAGCTACGTGAATACTTGATGCTATTAACTCATGCACTCTATTATGGTTTCAGTCTTTATGGTGTATGTTGCAGTGGTCATAGCTGCAGCATTGGCACTAATAATTCACTTCGGGCCTCGGTATGGATCCCGCAATGTGATCATTTACATTGCCATCTGTTCTCTCATTGGTGGATTTTCTGTTCTTGGATGTAAAGCTATTGGCTTGGCAGTGAAGGTAGTATTGAGCATTACTTTTTTTCATTTTGGAATAATATGAATTATCAAACAGTTAAGAATAACACTGAGTTAGTGATAACCTATTAAAGTACATGCAATTTATGGTACTTTAAATAAAGTCATTTAATGCTGAATTACATTACTATACTGTAATTTATTGTTATGCTATTGTCTTACTGTTTAAATATTACTAGATAAAGATTTAGGAAATAGTCCTGCCATGTACTGTGCAAAACAGATGGCATACTTTGTTGATTGTACTAATATGTAGTATGAATGAATATATTATTTCCTCGTCTAATTTGATTAGCAAATATTCATGATTAGCATTGTATGGGATGTAAGTTTCAATGTCAGTGATAGTGAGCTTCTAAGAGTTAGGTCAGGATCTGATTGATTGTACTGAAAACTAAAGCAGATAGCATTCATTAAGTACGATGGTTCTTTAATAATGGTCACAGATCATTTATCCAATGCTTCATAAACAAAAGCTCAGCTCTAACATACAAATTTACTGCCCCTTTCCCATGCAACTTAAAACTGTTAAATTTTTTCCTTCTTTAGCAGGTCTAAATTCATGAATGGCTGTGTACCTAAGTATTTCTCATTGTGTCTGATCAATTATGCTAATTCAAACATTTTCCCTATAGGAAACCATATCCGGTAAAAATGCATTCAATAACTGGATCATGTGGTTCTCAGTGCTGAGTCTCATCATTTGTGTCAGCACCCAAATGAATTATTTAAATAAGGTGAGTTTAGCTAATAAATTGTTTGTCTCTGGTTGAGGTCGTTCATTCAGCTTCCCGAAGGAAATGTACTTGTGTGTGTTCTAGCGGTCCCAGTTATCCATTATCATCATGTCTTTTTACATTTAAAAATTGTTTTTTCTTTCAAGCAACTGCACACATGACCCTCAGGCACTTTTTACTTCGCAACTTTAAACTACGTTTAAATATTTTTTTTTACAATTTCCCTGTTAAATATTGACTTCGAGATTTTTCACTTGTAAGAGACTTAGGTTCCTTCAGTTTATCTTGGATCTTATTGTCTATATTATCTGTTTTACTAGGCAAGTTTGTGTCATTTTATAATAATTTTTTTTATGTAATTTTTACAGTTGTAGTATCACCCTCAGGCTCTGGACATATTCAACACATCACTGGTGACAACCAATATATTACGTCTTTTTTACGGCCTGTGTCATCCTCTCATCTGCGATGCTTTTCAAGGAGTGGAAGGGCCTTCCAGCTAAAGATGTCATAGGCGTTTTGGCAGGATTTTTTACTGTTGTCATTGGCATCTTCATTCTTCATGCATTTAAGTATGTTATTCTTCAGTTGTGTTGAAGTATTTTGATGTTCAGTATTTAGGTACATTATACCTGTAGGTTCTCACCAGACCTTTTTTTGCAAATCTCATTTTCATGCATTATCTTGAGAATAATTTTCTAGTTGACTCTAAACTTTCTACATTTGTTTTTCATGATAAGATGAAATGTCAAATTGTAATTAGGCAGTATACAGTAGCCCCCGATGGTCATTTTGAGGGGGATATTCCTTCTTTAGACCCTGAAGCAAAAATGAGAGGAAGTACACCAGATTCACTACATAAAAGAAGTAAATGGAAATAAGATAGTAACATAAAATATAATTTCTTTTATGTCCGTTAAAAGCGACGGGACCAGTGCCACACAAAATAAAGTGATAACAGTGTTTACAAATGAATCCCTCGCAGGCTTCTAGACACTGGCAAACTGATGTGAATTTCTCACTCTTTCATTAGATATAATTATAGGTATGACTAGATATGGGCTAGTTGGGAGTAAAGGGTGGTAGACAGCAACCGCCCAGGGAGGTACTACCGTCCTGCCAAGTGAGTGTGAAACGAAGCCTGTAATTGTTTTACATGATGGTAGGATTGCTGGTGTCTTTTGTCTGTCTCATAAATATGCAAGATTACAGGTATGTCTTGCTACTTCTACTTACACTTAGGTCACACTGCACATACATATACATGTTTATTTATACACACTCGTCTGAGTTTTCTTGGATTTTATCTTAATAGTTCTTGGTCTTATTACTTTTCCTTTTATATCCATGGGGAAGTGGAATAAGAATCTTTCCACCGTAAGCCATGCATGTGTAAAAATCAGCTATAATGCCGGAAACAAGGGCTAGTAAGCCTTTTCCTTTTTTAAA